TGTTTGTTTCCACAGCAGGACCCAGCTTATCCTTACTGATCCCCGAAGGCACAGTTAAGATACCAATAGTCTACATCTTGAAGTAAGCCAGTCACAGGGACATGTATCACCTCACTTATATGAGATGCCTAGAGTAGTCAAATCATAGCGACAGAAAGCCGAATGGTGGCTGCCAGGGGCTGAGGGGATGGGAGAATGGGGAGTCTGTTTTGTGAGTGGAGTTTCAGTTGGGAAGATGAAAAAGTTCTGGAGATGGCCGGTGGTGATGCTTATGGAACAACATGAACGTACTTAATACCTCAGTGCAGTGCACTTAAAAGTGGTTAAGATGGTAAATTTTGTGTTATATAATACGTATACACACATACACACACACACACACACACACATATATATATGGTTTTGTTTTTTTGGTTGGTTGTTTTTGTGAGACAGTCTCACTCTGTCGCCCAGGCTGGAGTGCAGTGGTGCAATCTCGGCTCACTGCAACCTCCGCCTCCTGGGTTCAAGCGATTCTCCTGCCTCAGTCTCCCAAGTAACAGGGACTACAGGCGCCCTCTACCGTGCCCAGCTAATTTTTGTATTTTTAGTAGAGACGGGGTTTCACCATGTTGGCCAGGCTGATATCAAACTCTTGACCTTGTGATCTGCCCGCCTCGACCTCCCAAAGTGCTGGGATTATAGGCGTGAGCCACCACACCCAGCCTGTGTTATATATATTTTATCACAATTAAAAAAAATAGCCTCTATCTTTGCAACAGAGGAAACAGATTAGGAAAAAGGATGCCTTTGATTTCATGGTATTCCAAAACTGGGAGAAGGCACTTAACTACTCCTCTCCCCTACACCCAAGAACAGCCCTCTTTTACCTTCTTCAGGTTCATGCCATCTTCAGCCAGCAGGAATTTGGGGAAGCACGGAAGCTGCATCGGCCAGCAGCTGGGAAGGAGGGAGCCAGCCTGATTCCCATCAATTCATTAGAGCTGGGAAACCATGCCAGGTCTCTAGCCCAGAGGCCGGTCGCTCTCTATGGGATGACTTGAAACATCTCAGGCCCCCGGGGCTGCCCCACCTCTTCATTTTCAGAACTCATCACTGCACATTGTGTAGGCTGTGAATCAGCCTTCTAAAATTTACCGCAACACCCTTGCCCTCATCAGAGTTCTCTTTACATGCTGGGTGGGCCTGTAGCCGAGTACCCGCCCCCCCACCTGACTTCACCCCTACCAGGAGCAGTGCTGGATGTCACCCTTCACAGCAGGGCAGGCAGAATTGCTCATAATGGCTAAGAGCCCCAGGCTCCAAATTCAGGATGTCTGGGTTAGCACCTGGGTCCTGAGACTGATTTGCGGATTGAGTGAGCAGTGCCACCCAAGCTCTCTGCACAGCGCCTGACGTGCAGAGAGGGGCTGAGAAGTGAACGCCACTGTGGTCACTGTCGCTGCTCCTCCCCTCGTGCCCACAATGCTCCTGCCTTATTGGGCAACATAGACTCACAGCGGTGAAAAACGTGAGGGACAGAGATATGTCCCCTCCTTGGGCTGTGGTGACGGAGAATCCCTAATCCTTGGGGCCACATCAAGGCTGGAATGCACAGGCTCTGTCACAGGAGCGTTTGATCTTATGGCTTTGTTATAGCTTAAGCATCTTATTCCACCACACAAGCCTAAGAGGCCTCTGAGGATCCTTCCAGCCCTGGACTAAGAATTCACATTGAGTTAAACAGCTTTGTTCACTGCAGGACTTCTCAGGGCCTTTACAATTTAAATGTTAAAGCAAATTGCCAGAGAGGAGTATAGGATGCAAACTTGGACCTAGGAAGATGCTGTAGGATTAATGTCCTGAGGAATATTCTTTGGGGAGTGTCCGTATCCAGCCTTCAGTGGGACCCAAAGAAGACTTGACAGTAAAAGTCCTCCTTTGGTCTATAGAATCGAATCCCTGATACAGCCATTCGCCTTCAGACATGAAGGGACATGTGGGGACAGCTCACCTGGCAAAGCTGGTTCCCTTGCCAGGAGACAACTAAGTAGATGTGGTAGGCCAGTACCATGCACAGAATGTTCCCCAAACAATTTCTGGCCTTCCACATTTGGAGGTGGGGTGGCTGCAGCTGCATTGATCTAATCGTCTTCAAATGAGAAGAAGCTTCTCACTGCCCTACTCAAGCCAGATTCCTGGGGAAGCTCCACCTGTGTTTCTTAGAGAACGTTTCTCTTAGGCCTTTGGTTTGCATTGCCTGTGACTTGGCCCCTGCAGCATTCCTGCAGCTAAGATTCAAGCACCTCCAGAGAGGCTGGTCGAATTTTGCTGGCACCTTTGTCGCTGCCCAACAAGGTGCACCCCATTTAGCCCGCTTCGGGGGCATGCAGCCTACATGGTTGCACAGGGCTTTGCATTTGGTTTGGTGCTATGCTGTCGCCATCTGGAAATTCTTCATAGTTTTGAAATGAGGGACTCCCGTTTTCATTTTGCACTAAGACTTGGAAAGTATGTGTCTGGCCCTGACCAGAGACCCTCTTGGGCCACATGGTGAGGTGCCAGTCAGTGACCCGGAAGCAGAGCCTCTGCCCCCTTCCCCGCCAGGTCACGTTTGCATTGCAGAGAGTGTCACACAGCCAGTTCAGGAACTTTGCACCCCTGCAGGGTGCAGGCCACGCCCTGAGCAGAAACCACGCCATGTTTTTGTTTTGGAAACAGTCTTGCTCTGTCTCTCAGGCTAGAGTACAGCAGTGCAGTCTAAGCTCACCGCAACTTCTGCCTCCTGGGTTCAAGTGATTCTCATGCCTCAGCCTCCTGAGGAGCTGGGACTACAGGCGTGTGCCACCACAGTCGGCTAATTTTTTGTGTTTTTAGTAGAGATGAAGTCTCGCCATGTTGGCCAGGCTGGTCTTGAACTCCTGACCTCAGGTAATCCACACACCTTGGCCTCCCAAAGTGCTGGGATTAGAGGCGTGAGCCACCACGCCCAGCCACTACATTTGTTTTAGTTACAAAAACCTCCTTCGCCAAAACTCAGCCAGGTTTATGGATCACTGATGAGGGAAAATGTCATGGGTGACCTATAATAGGTGTATAGAAGAAGTAGGCTGCGTGCTGTTGGGCAGGGAGGATACGGTGGGGCGGACACAGGGCCAACCTGCACTGTAGCTCCATCACAGCTCTCCCCCACCACTGCCTGCCTGCCCTGCCCTCTACAGATGGAAGCTACCTGTCCCCCTGCTGGCACAGGTGGCTGTCCCTGCTGGCACAGGTAGCTGTCCCTGCTGACACAGGTGGCTGTCAGCAGCCTGCACCCCCTGGTGGGTGCCCCTCCAAGCTGCCCTGGGGGCCTCCCAGTCTCCATGTTATTCCTACTGGTGGAAGTCGCTGTGGCCAGCTGCCCCTGCCCTGCTCTGAGTCCCTCACAGGCAGGCTCATTTTAGCTCTCTTCACTCACCTGTAGCTTCAGCCAAATTAAACCTTCTTTACACCAGGCACTTACAACACAAAAAGAGGCCTATTTACTTGTATTTCCAGACCAAAAAAATGTTGAGTGGTCCCAGACACCCAGGCCTCTCTCTGTCCTCCCACTGGGGCTCTTTATAGACATGGCATCTTTTCCTCAGGGCACGTGGCTCCTGTTCAGGACTGGGCAGGAGACTGAGGTCAGGTCTCGGGTGCTGGATGAACAGGTTGAGGTGATTTGTGGGTGGTGGTTGAGGGGAGGGATCTGCTTGGCTCAACGGCTGCCTCTGACTTGGGAGAAAATGTTTGATAAGAAGGGCATCCTTCTGACTACTGCACAGTTACCTGTGATCCAGGACTCAGTTCAAAATTAAGCCAAACACCATCACTGTGTGACCTGCCCATGTCAGCCAGTGACTGACTCCTCTTTCCCACCAGAAGGGAACACCTCCAGATTAAACAAAAGGATTCTGTACAAGCGCTGGGCCCTGCTCTGCCTTTCTTATGCTAAGCTCAAGGTTACAAAGCCAAAGGGAAGCATTACGGAATTTCCCATGAACGCTTTCCTCCTGTGCCATCCCGCCAGAGTGACAGGGAAGTAATGGATCCCTCAGGACTACAGACATGCTGGAGGAAAAAGTTCAAAGGGCATCGTGAGCTCAGCCTTTCTTCCTAGAAGATTCTCAAGGCCCTTCCCAAGAAAGTTGCTCTGCCTTAAATAGTAGCACCACTAAGTTGCCTTCATTGGGCACTTACCGGGTACAACACAAAATACAAGGCACTTTACTCCCAGAAAGCCCATCTTACCAGTTGGAGAACTGTGTTTTAAAGAACGAAGTCATTTGCCTGTGGACACCCAACTAGGAAGTTAGTAGAGCTAGAATTCTGGTCCAGATCCACCTGACTCTAAAGCCATGAGCTCCCACGGGGCCAGCGTGCCTTCCTGTCTCAGCCTGGTAACTGTGAACCCAGTCAAAGTGGACGAGGGAGGAGTCGTCCAATGGAAGCTGAGGTCCCATCACTGCCACTGTGCAGGTGGAAGGCCCCCCCAGCAAAGCAGCTCCTTGTTGGGTCAGAGGCCTGGTGTGAATTACTGGGGACGTCCTCTTAGGCCATGTTCTCAAGTCCCCTTCACCCCCAATGAAAGTGTTGGCATTTTCTACCGGCCACCCCTACCTTCTGACTACAAAGCCGTCTGTAACCTAACTTGATCATAATTAGATTTTTAGCACATGCTTACAAGATTAATGGATTAATCATAGTTTATTTGCAAATGATTAAAAACATTACTCAAAAACACTTTCCCTGAAGATTGTTTGGGTTGCCCAGGGCAAGATAATTAACGAGACAGAGGGGAAAAAATGAAAAACACACAACCGTCAACCTCATTAAAGATAATCAAATAAACCCTCAAGTTCACTGAGCTAACTGTGCAGCCTGCGGGGGGCTGAGAAACCTGGTCTGTTCCTTGGTGCTGAATTGGCTCTTCAGGTACCATGTGAAAGAATTACTCTGCCTAAATACCTTCCCATCTTTCTTTTTTTCCACAACAGCCTCCATTTGATGGTGAAGATGAGGACGAGCTATTTCAGTCTATCATGGAGCACAACGTTTCCTATCCAAAATCCTTGTCCAAGGAGGCTGTTTCCATCTGCAAAGGAGTAAGTCGATTTGGATACCTTTTGTGATCATAGACCAAGAGCTTTGGTAGGAGAAATACTTTCCCCACACTTCTAAGAGAGATGGCAGAAATACCACAAACCCACACCACTGCATTTTGGCCGTCGACGGTTGGGGCTTGGTGTCACACAGGGCACAGTGGGGAAAGTGAAGGCCGGGAGAATGGATTGGAATCCCAATACTTCCTGGGACTCTGGCCCAGTCACCTAATGACTGTACTGCACTTTTCATTCTAATCCATTTCATAAAATTGTGGTGGGGACTACCAGATGTCGTCAGAGGCCCATAGAAAGTGTGTGCTCTCGTCGCCTGTCTCACCTGGTGCGACTTAGTTAGTTCTTTGTTTGCTGCACTTTTCTTGAGCTATAGCATACATGCAGCAATGGCACAAATCATCAATATGCTGATAAATGAATCTTCACAAAATGAATCCACCCGTATAATTGCACCCAGCTCAGGAAACTGTGTTTCCACCACCCTGGAAGCCCCCTCCTGTCCCATCTACAGTCACTACCCCGCCCCAAGATAACCTGCCCCCGAAGTTTGGACAGCATGGATTAGTCTTGGCCTGTTTTGAACTCTGCACAAACTGAACCTTGTAGTGTTGCTCTTGGCCTGGCTGCTTTCACTCAATATCGTGATTGAGGATTTTGTCTGCATTGTTGTGTGGGGTTGTAGTTCCTCCTGTCATATTGCTGTGCAGTGTTCCGCCGTGTGAACACACCATCGTTTCCTTATCCATTCTACTTCTGGTGGATATTTGGATGGTTCTTGCTTTGGTTTGAGGCTGTTACAAGCAGAACTGCTATGAACCTTCTGGGGCGTGTGTTTTGGTGAAGATATGCACACACTTTGATTGAGAAAATGCTCTAGGAATAGAGTCGCTGATCATGATTTGTCTGTCTAGTTTTGAATGGTCAAGAGTTAGATCACAAAGCTATTTTCAGGCTTAGTAAGATGGAGTACAATATACCCTTAACAGTATCTGGTGAGTGTGATCATTTGTGAGGCATTTGTCACGTGTCATCCAAGAGCAAGGCACTTGGGAGAGATACTGAGGTCTGGAGGAACTGGTGTCTGCCTTCAAAGAGCTCATAGCTGTTGTTTGCCTCTGTGTCCTGCAATAGGCAAGTCGGAATTAACTAGTCACCTTGCTTGTTATAGCATTTATTTTTCTAATTTATGAGTCTTTGATTGATAACATTTTAGCCCAGACAATACATAGACATATGATGCTTATTATGGCATCCTCTGTGACGCTAGACTGTGATGCTTTCAGCACACACAGTTTTTAGTGATTGCATGTTTTTTTTTTTTTTTACCAGATACATGTATAGCATGGTGTCTCCAAAATAGATAACGTGTGAGATGTCTATTTAAATTCTTCTTATTCCATTTGGCCATGGGTTCAGATTGCTTCCCTGTTCCCTTATCTTGAAAACTATCATAGGCAGGGCTGCACTTGCCAATGTCATTTTCGTGAGTTGGCTTCACTCCGTACAAGCCACTGAGTGTCTTGGTCAGCTCTCTGAGATGCTGTCCAGGTGCCCACAAAGTCAGGGCTGTAGGCAGAGCTAGGCAAATGGAAAGCGCTGTCTCTGGGAAGCATTTGACATCCATTGTTCTCTTTTTCTCCTTTTCCTTTCTAGCTGATGACCAAACACCCAGCCAAGCGGCTGGGCTGCGGGCCTGAGGGGGAGAGGGACGTGAGAGAACATGCTTTCTTCCGGAGGATCGACTGGGAAAAACTGGAGAACAGGGAGATCCAGCCACCGTTCAAGCCCAAAGTGGTGAGTGCAGAAAAGCAGCCTGTTTTCTGAGCCCCATATCCCCAGATTGTGGGAGTATCCCACTCGCCTCTTTTCTTGGAGAGAGGAGGCCGGTGGCCCCTGGCTTGTACAGGGTGAGGAAACCGGCCAGGTTGCAGCCTTTCCTCAGTCCTGTGGCCTCAGCAGCCAGGATTCCTGCTGCCTTCAGAGAGTGAGGACCGATAAGGCAGGGAGGGGAACCCTGTGCACACTTCGCCCTCCAGCTGGGCAGCTGCAGAGCACCCCGCACAACTAGGGAGTGAGGGCAGCTCTGCTTTGGGTCTAGACTTTGTGGACTCGCACCCAGCAGCGCTACATTCGTAGCCTTCAGTCCTCAGCGGACTCAGGCTTCGTGTCTGTCTCCAGCTTTCCTGGATTTGCCTGGCACCGATGGGAGCCCTGAAGCACAACCCCATCCTAGCCAGCTCGTAGGCAGGGCCTGGGCCCCGCCCCCTCTTCCACCACTGTCACCGCTGCAGGGAGTGAGTGTCAGGCACCAATTCTGATGTTGTCAGCTTTTTTCACACTCTCCCTGTTCGAGTCCCATTTTTTTTCATTTATTTAAACACTATGTGCCAGGTCCTGTTCTTCGTGCCTTACAAATATTAATTCACTTAATCATCCCAACAGCCCTGTGAGATGGGTACTGTGGTCCCCAGTTTGCAGTGGAGGGCACAGAGAAGCTGAGTAACTTGCCAGGAAGCACACAGCGGACAGGTGGTGGAACCTGGAGGAGTCTGTGTCCTCACCCACTGCACCATCGCTCCGTCTCAGCGACTGCCCTGGCGCTGATGCTGCGGCCCTAGTTGTTGATTGCGACCAGCCAGTGCCTTTCATGCTTATATCTCTCGAAGTAAACTGAGAGCCTTTAAGATGTCAGCCTCCTCACACACCACCTGCCACTTTGCCGAGCCTCCAGGGAAGTCCTGTTTCTAAGGGCTGGGCGGACTGTGCCTTCCAGCTCTGCCACTATCCTGGCCAGCATCAGGTGGCTCATATTGTGCCTCTGCACGGAGACTGCAGAGAGCTGCTTTATGCCACAGTCAGTTTCAGAAGCATTGCCATGTTGGTTTCGTTCAAATCTATCTCCTCTGACAGGTGCCCCATGAGCAGGCCAGGGGACCCGCCTCGGGTGGCAGAGTTGCCAACTGGGTGGCACACAACCTTATTCTTAGAGCAGCAACTTCCTCACCATGTGTGCCTCTGTGTCCTCTACCCCAAGAATAAAACTGCTGTTGGTGAGCCCACTGGATTTTATTTTTCTAAGGTATTTTTAGCACACACTGAAGAAAAACTAAAATTAATCAGGTCAGTTGACTTCCTCCTGAATCATCGTTTCAAATAAGGCCCTTCTGTATCTGCTGCCCCCACCTTTTCTTTAGCCAGCCTGCACACTGATTTCAGGGGGCTCTCACGGGCTCCCGCCCCTCAACTTACAAAACCTGGTCTGAAGGTTTTGGGGGGGCGTGGGGAGAGTGATTAATGATGCTGCAGGTGGCCTCAGTAGAAAATTCTGTTAGGGACTTTTTTTTCCTCTTTTACCTTTAATATTTATTTGTCGTCTTAAATTAAAACATGAAGGTTATGCAATAGCATCTTGAACACAGCTTAGTTTCTTTATAGGAACAACGTAGAGATGCATACTGACCCTGCCTTGAGGGTTGAGCAAAATCCAATTATTTGTCAGTCACTTTCCAGAAAAAGATGAGTTGCAGCAAAACCAACCATAAAACATGTCTTTTTCTGTTTATTCCCACCTTATAGCGAAAGAGAGTGTTTATCTGCATAGTCTCCCACGTTTTGTGGATACTCGGCCCTAAGCTCAGACGTAGGGAAGACGAGGGCAACTTGGCTCCAGCAGGCAAGAATGTGAATTGTTCCCTGTGGTCGTGGAAATCACTGGGAGCAAAGCTATACCCACGGCAGGCAGCTGAGTTAGAAGCAGTGTTTATTTATATTTTATTCCTGGAGTGCTACTGTTTGCTGGGTTTTTTGTTTTTGTTTTTTAACTGAATGCTGGTTAAAATTAAGAAGGAAGGATAAATTGCCCCCGGCTATGAAGAAATAGCCCCTGAACTCAAATGGAGGCAGAAATTGTGGACCCAGGCCCCAAAACTGGAGATTTCATGTGAAAGGCCCTACCTGGTGAGAGCTCTGGCCTGAAAGAAGGAAGAGATTTCTCAGGCAGAAGCCCGTGATCTGCTGGAAAACCTGTGCACAAAAGAGGAAGAAGGTAGAAAGAATACAGACGGAGAGGAAATGGGCCCACAGAGGGAACAACGACAGTAAAGATAGAAGCAGGTGGCTGCAGGGGGACCCACAGACACTGTCCAAAAGCAGAGCATGTCAAGGGCAGAGAGATAAATGGGGCAAGCTCTGATTCCTGGAAGGGCAGCGATGTGTCTCTTGAGAGCTGTTTCCTCTAGTCCTTGTACTGTGCCAGCCAAGTGAGGCTCATCGCAGCATGTCATGCAAGGGCTGGCACCACCGCCTTCAGCGGTCTCTGAGGACTGCACTCTGTTCAGTGATGACACGCTGGAGCAGAGACACCATGCCAAGAGCCATTCCAGTGGCTGGAGAGGACATTTAGAACAGCAACAAGCAACCAAAGTCGAAGCTGCACAATACACCATGGTTCATACAAAGCAGCAGGAGAGAACTAGCGGCGTAGAAAAGTTATTCTGGGATGTGGTTTTCCAGCTTCCTTGGTGAAAAATGTACTATGGTTCCCTGACCCAGAGCTAACTGAAAAGTGAAACGTGTTTACAGAACTGAGCATTCTCTGACGGGTCGTTTTGTTATTTCAAAGGGAGACGTAGCAATGCAAGCCTAAATAGTGCTGCCGGAGAAAGGATCAGGCAAACGTCACGCAGCCAGCAGCTCTCACCGCGAGCCCATTTCTGAGTAGCTGTCGCCTCTCAGCAGTTCTTATGACCCTGGCTAACCAGCCTTTTCTGTCTTGGTGAAGACTGCCTGATGGATTTTTAGCAAACGCTGGTGAATCAACTTCCTGAGACTTGCAGGCTTAAGGACAGGTAGCTGTTTTCGCGTGCGGTCCCGCTTCTGGCTCCCATGGAATTAAACCTTTGCTTATTACCAAATGCCAGAAGCGGGACTTGAAGTTCTCACGGTTATTTGCAAACTGCTTCTACAGATAAGATTGAGCTTGTAGGATCAGGAGTCTTTCATCTTTGTTTTACTAATTTTTTAATGTTTTGAACCTCCAATGAAAGAGTCTTCCAGAATCACTTGACTTCTCTAAGGAGGGTAGAAGTATTCCATTGCTGGACAGCCTACAGAGCTTATCAGGGAATCATGGTTCCTCTAGTGTGCTGTCTTAATCCTCTTCCTGACTGCCAGAGTGACTTGACTAAAGTTAACCTTTAGACCGCAGTGCCACGCAAAATGCGCTCCCACCACAAAAAGCATCTCACAATGCCATGATCCGTCAGGAGGTTCACACAGGACTTTCCATCTCATGGTGACGTTAAAGTCAAGATCTGCAGTACAGCTGTGGGCTGGATTCTGTATAAGGTCACACGTAAAGGAGAACAGAAAGAGGAGAGTGACCAGTGTCAGGTGTGTGGAACAGTGGCCATCTCCCTTAGCAGTGGCCACCTCCCCTGGCGGTGGCCGTCTCCCCTGATGGTGGCTGACTCCCCGGGTGGTGGCCGTCTCCCCTGGCAGTGGTCATCTCCCCTGATGGTGGCTGACTCCCTGGGTGGTGGCCGTCTCCCCTGGTGGTGGTCGTCTCCCCTGATGGTGGCTGACTCCCCGGGTGGTGGCCGTCTCCCCTGGTGGTGGCTGACTCCCCGGGTGGTGGCAGTGTCCCATGGCGGTGGTCATCTCTCCTGACAGTGGCAAGCCTGGAGGCTCAGATGTGAGGGAAGAACCTGCCCCTGTGGCAGTCAACAGTGGGAGAGTCCAGTCCTGGACAGAGCCATGTCTGTCCCTAAAAAGCTACCATGCGCCCCCATGAAGATGATGATTTTCTGGAAGATGGGACAATCACTTTGCAGGGATTATTTTGTAAAAACGAAAGCAAAGATAACCGCAGCGAGCAGTGCTGTGAGCCCTGGACACAGGCAGCCAATAACTAGTTCCTCCTCTTTATGAGCAAAACACAAAGCCAGCTGGTTTCAGGGATCTCTTCCAAGGAAGCACAATGGCAAACATCCTCTGCTCCCGGGGCGTGAGGGCCGTCAGCTCAGGGAGGACCGTCAGCTCAGGGAGGGCCGTCAGCTCAGTGGGGGCCGTCAGCTCAGGGAGGGCCGTCAGCTCAGTGGGGGCCGTCAGCTCAGGGAGGGCCGTCAGCTCAGTGGGGGCCGTCAGCTCAGGGAGGGCCATCAGCTTAGCCTGATGTTCTCAACAACAAACCCAAGTCATCAAAAAGAGGCCTGTAGGCCAGGCCTGGTGGCTCATGCCTGTAATCCCAGCACTTTGGAAGGCCGAGGCAGGTGGATCTCCTGAGGTCAGGAGTTTGAGACCAACCTGGCCAACGTGGTAAAATCCCGTCTCTACTAAAAATACAAAAATTAGCTGGGCATCTGTAATCCCAGCACTTTGGGAGGCCGAGGTGGGTGGATCACAAGGTCAGGAGATCGAGACCATCCTGGCTGACACAGTGAAACCCCGTGTCTACTAAAAATACAAAAAATTAGCCAGGCATGGTGGCGGGCACCTGTAGTCCCAGCTACTTGGGAGGCTGAGGCAGGAGAATGGCGTGAACCCAGGAGGCGGAGCTTGCAGTGAGCCGAGATCGCGCCGCTGCACTCCAGCCTGGGCAACAGTGAGACTCCGTCTCAAAAAAAAAAAAAAATTAGCTGGGCGTGGTGGCAGGTGTCTATAATCCCAGCTACTCAGGAGGCTGAGACAGGAGAATCACTTGAACCTGGGAGGCGGAGGTTGCAGTGAGCCAAGGTTGCGTCATTGTACTACAGCCTGGTGACGAGAATGAAACTCCGTCTCAAAAAAAAAAAAGA